CCCCTCCACAATTATTCAATATGAATACTACTCCCCTCTTCCCCTGATGACGTCTTGGGAGTATTCGCCCCCCCCCGCGTACTGTTTTTTAACACACAGGTTTCCCCGGAGTTGGGTTTTCGCTTGCATGTTTTTCTAAAATGCTGCTTTCGCTGAGGCGCCGGCCTCATTTTCGGGCCCCGCTCGTTCCGAATCGTGCTCCCGCTGCAGCGCTGGCATCATTTCCGCTGGCGCGCCCGGGCTGCACGCCCGAGCCGGCGCCGGGGCTGGCGCTCGGGCAGGGTCCGGAGCCGGTTCCGGCCGGCGCCGGAAAATCGAGTTCCGAGGCGGCGCCGAAAAAAAGGCCATTCTAATATACATTTTTCTTTCGAAAATACTGAATTTCTGCTTCCGGCGCCCCTCCGGGCCGATTCCGACGCCCAGGCCGGCGCCCGAGCCGGCGCCCGGGCCGGACGCCCGAGCCGACGCCCGGGCTGGCGCTTCTGGCGCCCGGGAAGCCTTCCCCGGAGTTAGGTTTTCGCTTCCAATTTTTCCTAAAATGAAGTGCTGGCCTCATTTCCGGGCCCCGCTCGTTCCGAATCGTGCTCTCGCTGCAGCGCTGGCCTCATTTCCGTGCTCCCGCTCGTTCCGAATCGTGCTCCCGCTGCAGCGCTGGCCTCATTTCCGCGCTTCCGCTCGTTTCGACTCGTGCTCCCGCTGCAGCGCTGGCGTCATTTCCCGTGCCATGCCACGGCATGCAATGCAATGCCAGGTTGATACTACGCTTCGCGGTGTTCTTCTACGCCATGCCACGCCGTGCTCTACAATGCATCGCGTACCCTTTCGGGATCATCGCCTTGCTTGACATCCGACTGTGCGAGTAGAGAGGGGATCTGCGCCATGGTAAGGGATGGGAGGGAGGCATACGATGTCAGATATGACGCGAGCGCACCTAGCTTGCCCTCCTCCCCCTCCTCCCCCTCCACAATTATCCAACATGAATACGATTCTCCTCTTCCCCTGATGACGTGCTGGGAGTGTTCGCCCCCCCCCCCCCGCGTCCTGCTTTTTTACACACAGGATTCCCGGGAGTTGGGTTTTCGCTTGCACTTTTTTTCAAAATGCTGCTCTCGCTGAGGCGCCGGCCTCATTTTCGGGCCCCGCTCGTTCCGAATCGTGCTCCCGCTGCAGCGCTGGCCTCATTTCCGTGCTTCCGCTCGTTCCGAATCGTGCTCCCGCTGCAGCGCTGGCCTCATTTCCGCGCTTCCGCTCGTTTCGACTCGCGTTCCCGCTGCAGCGCTGGCGTCATTTCCCGTTCCATGCCACGGCATGCAATGCAATGCCAGGTTGATACTACGCTTCGCGGTGTTCTTCTACGCCATGCCACGCCGTGCTCTACAATGCATCGCGTACCCTTTCGGGATCATCGCCCTGCCTGACATCCGACTGTGCGAGTAGAGAGGGGATCTGCGCCACGGTAAGGGATGGGAGGGAGGGGTAGGATGTCAGACATAACGCGAGCGCACCTAGCTTGCCCTTCCCCTCCCCCTCCCCCCCCCCTGCTCCTCTTTCGCATCCTCCTCCTCCTCCGCCTGCTCCTCCACCGGTCCCTCCCCCGCTGGGGCCCCAGTTCTCTCGCGGCCCGCAGACGCAGCTGCGGCCTCGGCAGGCCGCTCCCCCCGTGCCCTCCCTTGGGGGCGGGGGGGCCCGCGCCGGCTGGGAAGCGCGGGGGCCACGAGGGGCGGCGGGAGCCAATCCAGCAGTCGCGCATGGCGTTAAGTCGGACCTGTCCTTCTACAGGGGAAATGTTCAAAATTGTCTAACACACACACACACACAAAAAAAAAGTCTGGGGAATTTGTTTTGTCCTTTTGACCATTTTGGAGTATTTAGTTGCGTACGTTTGATTTGTCGTCGGAAATCCCTTTGCAGGGGGACACGTCCGACTTAAAACATGGCGTTCCGAGGCCTGGGCCGGGACGGCGGCCCTGACCCGCAAGCGCCGAAAGGGCGGAGAGGGTCTCGTGCCTCGCGCCGTGAGCGATGCGGAAGCACGTTTTCGGGCGACCCGGTTCTGGATTGGAGCGGCGGATGCCCGGAGGGATCAGGAGCTCAGAGGCAAGGGGCCAGGAATTCCAGTCTCAGTCGAAGGCCCCCTGGTGAGTGGCAACCCCAGGGCGTTTCAAGGCATGGCCGAAACCTCCTATTGGGGCGTCTGGATGAACATCCTCCCCGTGGAATCGCCCCAGCATCGGCCAGCGGCACCACCCTCATGGACTAGCTGCACCACGGCCACTGGCATCGGTCTCGGCCATCCCATGAACTTTAAGGATGTGAACCGTTGTCGGACAGCTACTCGATTCTGACAGCACGGATTTCCCTCAAGCTGCCCCATCTCTTGTATTGTGCCGATGACAGCTTCATCCCTATGACGGGTTGCGTTACCCTTTACAAGCTTGTAGCGAGCGTGGCAATCCTCCTCCACCATTCGTCTCCTCGCTGCCCCTCCTCCCCCCTTCCCAGACATCCGACGTCTTGATGGTTTCAAGACGGAGCCCCTGGAAGTCCAGACCCCTTCCCCGGGGCCGGTGTCTCATCCAGAGTGGTGTTTGACGGCCCGTGGGCCCGGCGAGGGCCCCAGGAGGCCGAACATTGGCAAAAAGCCTCTCCGTGGTGGTGCCTGCATGGAGCGATTCTGTACCCATCACGGCTCAAGGGATCGTGGCACAGCCGCGGGTGCGCGTTTTGGAACTCCCTCTATCTCGTCGGACGACGGTCCATCGTGCGAGCGCGGTCGGTCTCGGCTGACTTCGAAGGCACTGCACACCCTTCAAGTCCGCGCGCGAGCTTTTTGGTGGTATGTCCGCGTCGTCTCGCCTCGAGACGGAGCAGCAAGAGTAATTACGTCGCCACTCTTGCTGCTCGTGGCCTCATATCGTTAAGCTGCTGCACTTTGGCAACACATACACATGCATGGCTTGGTTATGACGATTGTATAGCCTCGTTGACCGCATTGAAGAGAGCGTTTTAAGCGCCTTTCTCACTCCCTGATGCTGGATCGTCCTTCGATGTCAGAGTTCTAGACGAATTCAACCATGCAAGAGTGGCGAGAGCTCAGTACGCAGCGGATGCAGTGCTTATTCCCCTTACGGCTGTAATGCTGCCGCTAGTGACTTGCATGCATGCTACGAGTTCCACCGACTGGGATGCCATTTTCAGAGCAGCGTTCATGTGCTGGCGTCTCGCTGCAACGTTGTACGTGAAGTACTTGAGAAAGTCGCCTGGATTTCGCCTCGTGGAATTGTTTTACAAAGCGTTCATTTTGTTATTTGCAGTTCGAACGCACTTAGCGGACACACAGCGACTTCTAATGTACGGCGGAGTACGGAGTGCCTCACGAGTAGGGCTTGCGGTCTGGATACTAGATTATATAGGCTCACGCCACATCCGCCGACCCCTTGTTATGTTTTGTTTGCCGAGATACCGCTTCCCAGGTCTTCTCTGGAAACCGCGGCCCTTGGGCCGTCTTGCATCCCAATTGGGGGCCTTCTGAGCTGTCTTGGACGCGATCGTGGTACTGGCGGCCCGGGCCCCGGGTCGGCACACTCTCCGAGATCACCCTTCTTTGGCTAACGACTTCTTCCCAGGCCATTCGGGCTCCTAGGCGGGTTCCCGAGGGCTACGCCAGGGGAAACAGGAAGAGGAGGGAATGATAGAAAGGGAGGGAGTTGATCGATGTTTCTGTTTGGGGGCCAGGGCAAGGAAATTATTATAGAGGCGGTGGATCAGACTGCCTGGGGTGGCATTGTCGCTACGGCTGGACTCCGAGGGAGTGTCTCGTGGCCTTCGGCCCATCCGGCCGCTGTGCCTGGGTTGTGGGTATGAAGCCTCGGGGCTATCCGTTGGGATTTCGTGGCGAGCCTCTTGGAGGCAGTTTCGAAGGCTCTTGGGGGCCGTTTTGGAGCTTCTTTTGAGCCTCTTGGGGGCCTTTAGGGGCTTTTGGGTGCTTGGGGGGGGCCTCTTGGGCCCTCTCGGGGGCCTCTTCGGGCTTCCTAGGAGTTTCTTTTGCCAGAAAATCTACATTTTCGGTTCGAGGTTCCCCTCTTGGGCCGTGTCTGGGGCATGTGGGAGTACTTTTGGGCCGTCTTGGGCGCCTCTGGGGCCGGCTTGGAGCCCTCTGGGGCCGTCTTGGGGGAGTCGTGGGAGGGTTTGGGGCCGTCGTGGGGCGGTTTTGGGTGCTTCTTGGATGTTATTCAACGCCGCGCAGGCCGAAAAGTCGCATACGCTAGAAATGTATGTTTTCCCCATGGAATTTGACGATTTTGGCTTCTCTTGGGTTTCCTCAGAGGCCTCTTGGAGGCCTCTTGGGGTGTCTTCGCGGCTTCTTGGGCATCTTGGATCGATCATTTGGCGAGTCTGGGCTCTCTTGGACCGTCTTGGGGGTGTCTTGGGAGGCTTGACGGGGTGTCTTGGAGCTCCAGACCGAGCCTGCGGAGCCCGGAACGCCCCTGGTGAGTTCGGAGGTGGGCCGTACTCGGCCCCGGGGGGGGGGGTCAAGTTGCCGGTTTGGGGTCCCCAGGCGGGGGTTATGGGGGAGGAGAAACTCACACGCCTAGAGACCCACAAGGGGTCGGCGGATTGCAAGACGATTGTGAGATGAAACGTGTTCTTTTCTGCAGTGACTTGCCCCACTTTCTGGAACCGGCGCGAGGAGCTCTGCACCGACAGATGTTCGTCCATGGCAGTTTTCGTGCATTATTTTGCCATTGAGGTGTTCGTTTGTATGGTGGAATGTTGTGCCTCAGTTTTCCTGGAGCTTGGGGAGAAGGAACGCATCAAGGCATCCATAGAGTCCAACCAGTCTGGCAGGGCGTATCGGGTAGTTCAAAGACTGCTCGGTATGTTTTGCGACGCTCACCTGCACATCTGCCCACAATATAACATCATCTCTCATTCCCCACACCTGTTGCACTCTTTGGGGGGCTCGGAAGATGTGATGGGAGGTGCGAAGAGCACTCTTCATGCATCGAATTTCCTCCAGTACCTGGGGGAGTCCGGCCAGCAGCGCTCCCAGGACTGGCTCTCGGCGACGGCGGTGGTGCAGGCAGAAGACTTCTCGCCCGACGGCGTCGCCGCCCCCACGACCGAGGGCCCACACTCGGACAAGTTCGCACCCCCGCCCCGCCACCTCCATCCACGTGTCCCCGCACGAGGGCGGGAGTGCGCACCCGATCTCCGTGGAGTTGTTCCTGACCTACGTCGCCGACTTCAAGGTCGGGTGTTGCCAGAAGTGCCCCTGGCCCGAGGTGCCCCCCAGGATTTCCAGCGAGGCCACTAGGGCCTCCAGAGCACCCCTCACGAGGCCCAGAAGGCCCCAGGGGGCTCTTCGGTTGATCTAGGCCTCCTAGATGGGGTCGGAGCAGATGGGGTCGGAGGATCGCGCCGCATCGCCGATGCATCGCCGATGCGGCTCGATGTGGAGCCCGATTTGCTTCACGCCGACGTCGCCGATGCATCGCTGACGTCGACGATCCATCGCCTGTGCATCGTCGATGCATCGGCGATGCGGCGCGATCCTCCGACACCATCTACTCCGACCCCATCTAGGAGGCCTCTGGTTGAGCGACAAGCTGGGGTTCACCCAGGGCCAGGGGCACCTGCAGCGACCCCCGATGAAGGGCGCCCCCGAGTCCCCGATGGGCATCCGGGAGACCTGCGAGGCGCCGCCTCGGGAGGCCTGCACGGACGCCCCCGGCGCCGTGGCGCTGCAGCCGACGGCAGCGTCCCAGGCGGCGTGCGGGCCCGGCCCCGACGTGGCTCAGGTCGGCGGCGCCAAGCTGGGCGGGAGGGCGCTGGCCCCGACACTGGCGCCGCTGGCAGTCGAGCAGGTCCAGTCGCCCGCCTCGGTGCTGGGCCTGCTGGGCCACTGGCAGCTGGCGCGCAGCAAGGCGCTCGCGGCGAAGGCCCAGTCCCAGAAGTCCCGCAGCTCCATCTCGTCGTCTTCGAGGACGTCCTCCTCGTCCGCTGGGACCTCCACGCAAGAGGGCTGCGTCTCGGCCGTCTGCCTGCGGGTGGACACATCAAGCTGGGGCCTGCGCGTCGAAGAAATGCCGGTGTGCTTCGAGATCGGGCACCAGCAGCCCCGTCTGAAGGATTGGCTGCCGAAGGAGCCTCTGGACGAGATCATGCGAAACTTCCAGGAGCTCGTGAATCAGAGAGAGTACGGGGATAGCGAGGATCGAAGAAGAAATTCTTGACGCCTGGCCATGATGGCCATCATCGGGGTGTTCCTCCAGGACGGCCTCACGGGCTCCGCCTGGGGCGACTGGGCGACCTACACGGATTCGCCGCTGCGCGCCTTCGAGAGCGAGTGGGACCTGCAGGCGCCCGTAGGCTACTGGGACCCGCTCGGCCTTGCGAAGGACGTCGGTGCGGACGTCCTCTACAGAAGGAGGTGCACCGAGGTCAAGCACGGCCGCGTCGCCATGTGGGCCGCCATAGGGTTCATCGTGCAGGATGTCTTCCTGTGGCCGGGAGGTGTCGTCCTCGAGGGGCCTGCCTTTGCGAGTCTTCCGAATGGCCTGAGCGCTCCAGTCAAGGTGTCTGGTGCCGACTGGGGTCAAGTGTTCCTGTTCTACGGCTCCCTCGAGCTTCACGCGGCCAGACAGGTCCCCACGGATCCTCCGGACAAGCTCAGCAGAACCGAGGCGGGCTTCGGAAAGTCGTACTTCGGGGCCCTCGGCGGGTGCAAGGGGGACGGCATCGAGGACCCTGAGAAGAACAAGCGGTCCCTGAGCGCGGAGCTGGCCGAAGGCCGCCTGGCCATGACGACCATCATCGGGATGCTCTTCCAAGACAACCTCACGGGCTCCGCCTGGGGCGACTGGGCGACCTACACGGATTCGCCGCTGCGCGCCCTCGAGAGCGAGGTGTGCGTGCAGGCGCCCGTCGGCTACTGGGACCCGCTCGGCCTCGCTGAGGTCCACGTTCACGACCACGTCGACGACGACCACGACCACGACGGCTACGAAGACGACCACGACCTCGACCGCGGCGACGACCACGACCACGTCCACGATGACGACGACCACGACCTCCACGGACGCCGTCGCCTCGACGACGACGACGACGACCACCACGACCACGAGCACGACCACGACGTCGACCACGACGACGACCACCAAACGACAGACGACCATCCCGGGGATACTGCCACGCACAACGACACATCGGAGCATAGCCGCAGCAGCAGCGGCAGCGTGCCGCCCCCCGTCGCGTCGACAGACGAAGACGTCCCAGAGGGGAATCGAGAGGCGGTAGAGGTCACGATACCACCCCCCGCATCGTGGTCGAACGACGGCGTCCCAGTGGGGAATCGAGAGGAGGTAGCCTGCAGTGACCAGGGTACTGCTCATACGAACGACCCCCCCCCCCTCCAGCTGTACCAGCAGCCCACAGGAAAGGAGCGGGATGTCACGGCGGAGGCGGCGGATGCTGCGGAAGCCGCGGAGTACCCCCCACAGGACAGTCAGTCCGAGGGTTTGCCCGACGAAAGGCGAGCCGAACCCATCGAAGGAGGCAACACTGTTCCCCCGCCAAGTACACAGGCGAACAGATCCCCCCCAGCGGCGCTGACACACAGGGCCAATCCTCCCTCATCCTCCTTTAATTCACCAGATTGTGCGGCTATCGGCTGCGTCTCCTCCCCCTTTCCTCCTCTTCCTCCTGCTCAAAACGTTCGTCCAGCTGTGCTTGGACACGCCCCCCAACCTGTTGTCGGTTCCTCGGTTGCTGCGAGTCGGGGCAGTGCCCCCGTACCGAATGCAATGCCGAGGAACGAAAAAGACATTGACAGAAGGGCAATGGTCATCAGTCCTCTGTACCAGCAGGACAGAGGACAGGAGTGGGATGTCACGGCGGAGACGGCGGATGCTGCGGAAGCCGCGGAATACCCCCCTCAGGGCAATCAGAGCGCCAGTAGTCCTCTGGGGCCGCCACACACCCAGCAGGGATGCCACGGAACAACCATCCAGACGCAGGACAGCAAAGCCATCCGCTGGCTAGTCGGGAGAAACCGTTTTGCCCCTATTCGCCCCCCTTTCCCAGTCAGTGAGCTCCGTACGGACGGCGAACCCGAGGCGCCCTCGCCAGGCGTCCAGAGCACCACTGGCGACGCAGCCCGCGCCCTGGCTGTGGAAGTCGTGCCGCAGTGCGTGCACGTCCTCGGCGCAACCAGCGGTATCCCAGAGAACGGAGAGGATCAGACGCTGTCCAGAGGGGACGCACCTGGGAGCGACAGCGGGCGCAGGCCCGAAGGCGAGCGCCAGCGAAAGGGACCCCTCCCCGCGAGCCACAAGGCCGAGTCTGCCTTGGCCGCCGGACGCGTTCCGACCCCAGCCTGGCGGCCAACCATGCGGCCTGCATTTCTCCGCCAAATTCCGCCAGGCGGGCAGCCGGAGCTGTCGCGAACAGATTGCGATCCCCCCAGCCAGGACAACGAGGCCGTTACGTTGGAGACTGGCGGCCAGGATACAAGGCGGCACCAAGGGCCCGACACGCGTCAATGGCCAGAGCCCAAGGACCCCGACACGGGACAACAGCTGTACAAAGCAGGAATCAACAACGTCCAGTGGGACCTCCCCGGGGAGGCACCCGGCGAGGCGATATGACGACTCCAAGTCACACTGGGGCCACTGTTCACTGGCACTTGGCACGCTTTCGCCAAGCGGCAGTCGGTGCCTGGCGGCAAGGGCGCGCTCGACCCGAATCGGCACGACCCGCGAACCTGCCACCTCTTCCTGGAATCCTTTCGCAGCCACAAGGGCGACGTACGGGTCCTCAGCGATGCGCTGGGCTTCGACGTCGACTGGACTCGGGCCTGGCAGCGGCGCCTGGGTCCGAGCGGCGGTGTGGGCAGTGGTCACCATGCGGTAAAGGGCCACCCGTGCAAACAGGCCCCCAGGAAGCACTGCAGACAGTGGTGGGCCGTCTCCCCACAGTAGCCTTGCTACCCCCTTGTGGCATCCCTGCGAGTTGCCACCGTGGTAGTGTCTCGACACCTGCTTCTTGCTGAATTTATACGTCCTTTTCTTGGCTGTTGTCTACGCGCTGCGTGTGTGACTATACCGTCGGCCTCAGTTCACTTCCCCTCTGTCTGCGTGCTGCGCGTGTGGCTATACCGTGGATTGTTCGGTTTTCTGCTCTGTGATCCACCTCCTCTGTTGACTACGAGTTGTACACCGTACTCTGCAGCGCGATTGGGTGTCGCAGGCTTCCCCCGTTTTGGTTCTGGCGAGCTGTTGTCGGACGTGCCTTGCTTCTCCAGTGGAGGCAACACGCTGCGTGGGAGACGAACGCCCGGCCCCCCCGGGGCGGAAGATACGCCCATCCCGAGTACGTCGGAGGAAACTCCCCCTGGCGGGCGCCTGCGCCCCGTGCTTCTCCCGGCCCCCCGCCCCCTGGGGCTGGGCGGCACGCTGCCCGTTCCCCCCATTGCGCGTCGCCGAGGCCGCCGCTTCGGCTCGCTGGCCGCCTTCTCGGTGCGTGGTTTCTCTGGTTGTCCGGGACGTACGCGCATCAACCAGGAAGGCAGAGGCCTGTGGAGTGGGGATCCAGGGCACCACGAAGTGTCAGCACTGTCCTCCGCCAGTGGTCTGGCGAGTGGTTCCCCCCCCGCGGTCGCTGAAGACCCCCCTCCGGGATCGGTGGAGGGACCGCAGTGGTGCCTCCGACTTTGGACTATCGTTCCCCCCCCTGTGGTCACTGACGGCCCTCCACAGGAAGTGGTGAAGGGATCACAGAGGTGAGAGGTGACCCCAACCACACAGCATCGTCAGAGGTGCCGCCTCTTCTTTCTCTTTCGCTATGCACCTCACGCGCTTCCCCCCGACGATGCTGCCGTGGAGCAGGGACAGCGTTCCCCAGCGGTGGTCAGGCGCTCTGTTCCCCCCACGGTCGAGGTCCGACATCGCGTGGTGGAGAGATCACTGTGGCCAAGGTCTCGCAGTATAAGCTTTGGCGTCGCCCCTCCTCCTCCTCCATGTATTCATTGGATTATGCGGCTATCGGCTGCGTCTCCTCCTCTCCCCCTCCTCCTCCTGCGGTTTCGGCGACAAGTTTCCCCCCTACAGAGGCCCCCCCGTGACCGAGGTCCCGCCGCATCGCGCGGTGCGATCACAGTGGCCTGGGTCTCGCTGTACTCGCTGTGGCGTCGCCTCCCCCTCCTCCATTCTTTCAACTGATCAGGCGGCTATCGGCTGCGTCTCCTCCTCCCCCCCTCTCCTCTTCCTGCGGATTCGGCCACACACGATTTCCCCCCTACCGAGGCTCGTGGAGCACTTGGGTCTATGCACCACCTGGCGGCTCTCCCGCAGCGCTCCGAGGTGAGGGCGGGCCACGCTGCCGCCTGATGTTGCTCTGACTGCTCGGGCCCCTGCCTGCCCCGGCACCACCGGGGGCCGGAGCTGGAGTGAATGCGGTACGTCAAGTGGTACACCCTTGCTCGTCCTTCGACGTTCCCCCTTCTGGTCCACCACGGCCCCCGATTGACGCACGCCGCTTGCTCCCCCCGTCCACCGTGCGGGGTAAGCTGCCTGCGCTGTTCGCCGACGACGTGATCCACCCCTGGGCGGGAGCCATCATCGTGCTCCTGGTACTGCTCAAGTGGTTCATCCTTTGACTGTATTCATGCTCTGCTACGGGTTGGTCCATGGTGCTCGGCCACACCTGCTGCCGTTTCCCCCGACGCCCCGGGTCAGGCAGTCAAGGTGGACTCTGCGGCTGTTTCGACGTCAGTGCATTGTGCGGTGGCTCACGTCGGATGGCGCCCAGGAGTCCAAGTGAGTGAGGCTTGCCTGGCCACCCCTCTTCTGCCCGCGCTTTCCCATCTCTTTCGCCTCGTAGTGGTGAGCGGTGCGGCCTCACGTGCCCAGTGTTCTGCCACTTGGCTGCCCTGCCCCAGCCTGTGCTCTGTGGACTGGATGGTTCGAGCTGGCGCCACTGTGCGACTCCTCTCCGTCTACTCCAGTCTGGTGCTTGCTTTCCCGTTCGCGGGCGGTTCGCAGCTTAATGGGGGGCAGTTTGCCTCTTGCAAGTGCACCTGCTACGTTGGCCTAGGCGCCTTCGTAACCAATTGTTTCGCCCTGTGCCCCAAACGCGCCCGCCCCGCTTCCTGGGCTTTCCCTTGGAGCCGCCAATCGAAAGAAAATAATCCCCACCAGCCCATCCAAAAACGATGCCCAGGCGAATTGCGGCGATCAGGGAAGTGAGGGCGCATACAGAGTCGCAAAGGGCTGGGGGACCCGTCTTACCCAACAGGGCGAGGATGGAGGAGGAGGAGGAGGAGGAGGAGGAGGAGGGGGAGGAGGGGCACTAGGTGGGAAAAGTGGGAGGAGGGAGGAAGGAGGAGGGGGAATAGGCGGATGATGAGGAGGAGGGGGGGAGGAGGAGGAGGATGAGGAGGGGGAGGGAGAGAAGAGGAAAGGAGGAGGAGGAGGAAGAGGAGGAGGATGAGGCTGATAAAGTGGAGGAGAAGGAGGAGGAGTAGGCCGACAAGGAGGAGGAGGAGGAGGAGGAGGAGAAAGATGAGAAGGAACAAGAACAATGACGTGCACAAGAGCCTCCTAGGATGTCCCTTTGGAAGTTGGTTTGGAGTCCTCTTGGAGCGCCTGGGGAATTCTTGGATGTTTCGGGGATCCTCTTGAGGCCCCTTGGGGGGTCTAGGGAGGATCTTGAGGGCCTCTTGGGGACCTCTTGGGGCTTCCTGGGCGCCTCTTGAGGCCCTCTTGGGGCGCTCTTTGGGAGCCTTGGGAGCGCTCTTGGGGCCATCTTGGAGGTGATCGATCAAAGGAAGGGGGTCCCCCAATTAGCGTCCCCCCTCGGGAGCCTATAAAATCGCCTCTTGGACCCCTCTTGGGACGCTCTTGGAACGCTTCTGGGCGCTGTTAGGGCCGTCTTGGGGCCATTGTGGGTCCCTCTTGGGGCACTTTTGGGCCCTCTTGGAACCATCTTGAGGCCTCGAATGGCCATCGGAAGCGAAAAGGCGAGAAAGCAAAAAAATTGATTGCCCTAAGATGTTGGAGCCATTTTGGCCTCTTGGGGAGCCTCCTTGGGAGGCTACGTGGCCAATTGGAGTCGTTTTGGGGCGGTCTTGGGGCCTTTGGGAGCATCCTCGGGGCCATCTTGAGGCGTCTTGGGCTGTCTTGAGCCATCTTGGAGGTCATCTTGGGCTCTCCGAGGCCCTCTTGGAGCCATCTTGCGCCATCCTGGACGCTCCCAACTACCAGCGAAACCCCCCGTCCAGGTCCAGGGGAGGGGGTCAGGGGGAGGGGTAAACCCCTCCCCGAAGGGGAAGAAGGGAAGATGGAAGAGGAAACTCCCTGAACCACCTACGCCCAGAGGGCTGGTGGGATAACGGCATAAACATAAAGTGTTGGCGCTCCGCGCGGATTTCTTGGATCCGCCACGATACGTGGCCGCAGAGGTTTGTTCCTGGCAAGTTGTCATGAGGAGAACCGAGGCACCATCGTCTCACCAGTTTTGCTGACCACCCTTCGTTGCCATTGTAGTACTGGTGCCCCCTTTATTGGCAGCGCCCCGCGGCTGCCAAGCGCCATGGCACGATGCGACACGCAAGTCGTTCGATGTACACTCTTACTGAAGGTGTCCTCCGACTGCGAGTACTGTACTAACGGCGGTGAGGCCCATACCCCGACCAGCAATGGCCTAGAAATGTTGATTCTTATTTAGATGTGTCACGCATCTCTGCCCATGTGAGAGCGCAAGCGGCACGCCCCCCCTGGGAAGGACGCCACTCGTGCCCAAAGCACGCACACCCACTTGAGATCCTCTTCCCCTCCGTTACCTTCCTCTCCTCCACGTGGTGCCGATACGACACCAGACTGACGTCGTGCGATCTGGCGGCGGCGTCTTGAAAGGGATGTATGCGCCGGTGCCACACCAAAAGCCGACGTCTCGTTCTGCAGCTTCGCTTGCCCGCCCCATCGTGCAGATGCCGTGCCACACTTGCCGCCCTCCTTCCCTCCCTGCCGTCCGCTCCTCTTGTCGTGCTTCTCGTTTGGCGACGGCCTGCGGGGGCGCTAATTCGGCCGCGCGCGCGCCCGATTGCTTTCCCGGATGCGGGCAGAGGTGTGGAAGGCACGAGTTCCGGCAGTTGCCGAAGCCATGCGTTGTGCGTGCCCGTTGCGTGCGCAAAGCAGAGTCTGAATGGTTCGGATCATCCTTGCTGCATGCGAAGTATTGCCAACCAGCACGTGGTGTTGGTACCTCGTTTTAAAAGAGACAGCGCCCCACGTCCCTCACTCCTTCCTTCATTCCTCTCGCTGCCCCCTCCTCCCTCCTCCCATCCCTGCTTCTGCTCTCCGCATGTCAGTTTCGGCGCACTCCTCACACGCTCCGTAGCCCCATGGAGAGTTCCACCGAAGGCCCCCAGAGGGAGCGTTCGCATGTGGGCGTCAGGCCCGTGTCGGCACACCCCTCACGCGTTTCGTGGCCCCATGGGGAGTTCCACCGAAGGCCCGAGAGGGAGCGTTTGCATGTGGGCGTCTCGCGCCGGTGTCGGCACACCCCTCACGCGTTTCGTGGCCCCATGGGGAGTTCCACCGAATGCCCCAGAGGGAGCGTTCGCAAGTGCCCCATGGCTGGGCTGGTAACAATAAGTTCTAAACTTATGAACTTAGACTTAGGCTCCAGGCGTTAGAAGTGAGACCTGACACATGCCAATGAGTTCAACCGTCCATCGTGTCACGGGCACCAACACGGTTGTCGGGATAGGGTTCGGTTGTCGAATTTGTGCAACTTTTTGGGTGGAGATCCGACGACTTGTGCAGCTTTCTTGATAGGGAACCGATGGGTTTTGCAACATGTTTGATTGGACCCCGATCAGGTTTGCAACCTTTTTCTTTTTCTCGGGTTGGGGTCGGTTTCCGAATGTGTGGAGCTTGTCTGATTGGGAACTGGTGAGCCGTGCAACTTTTTTCGTTTTCTCGGGTTGGGGTCGGTTTCCGAACTTGTGACGCCTTTTTGATTGGGAACCGATGAGTTGTGTAACCATGTTGGTTGGGAACCGATGAGTTGAGCAACCTTTTTCGCTTTCTCTGGTTGGGGTTGGTTTCCGAACTTGTGCCGCTTGTTTGTTTGGGGACCGATGAATTGTAACCTTTCTGATTGGGAACCGATGAGTTGTGCAACCTTTTTCTTTGTCTCGGGTGTGGGTCGGTTTCCGAACTTGTGCAGCCTTTTTGATTGGGAACCGATGAGTTGTGCAGCCTTTTCGATTGATGAGTTGAGCAATCTTTTTCGTTTTCTCGGGTTGGGGTCAGTGTCCAAACTCGTGCAGTTGTTTGTTCATGAATTGTGCAACATTGTCGATTGAGAACCGATGCGTTGTGCAACCTTTTTCGTTTTCTCGGGTTGGGGTCGGTTTCCGAACTTGTGCAGCCTTTTTGATTAGGAACCGATGAGTTGTGCAACGTTTTTGATTGGGGACCGATGTGTTGTGCAACCTTTTTTGTGTTCTCGGGTTGGCACACGGCTGCACAAGCCAAGCCCGAGAAAACGAAACAAGTTGCACAACGCATCGGTTCCCAATCAAACAAGAAGCACAAGTCATCGGTTTCCAATCAAAAAGGCTGCATAAATTCGGAAACCGAGCCCAACCCAAGAAACGAAAACGGTTGCACAACTCATCGGCCCCCAATCGAAAAGGCTGCACACTTCATCGGTTCCCAAGCAAGAAGGCTGCACAAGTTCGGAAACCGAGCCCGACCCGAGAAAACGAAAAAGGTTGCACAATTCTTCAGTTCCCAATCAAAAAGGTTGCACAACTCAGCGGCTCCCGACCAGAAAGGCTGCACAAGTTTGGAAACCGATCCCAAACCGAGAAAACGAAAAAGGGCACAACTCATCTGTTCCCAATCAAAAAGGTTGCACAAATTATCGGTCCCCAAGAAAAAAAGGCCGCACAAGTTTGGAAACCGACCCCAACCCGAGAAAACGAAGAGGGTTGCACAGCTCATCGGTTCCCAATCAAAACAGTTGCACAAGTAGAAGTGCCCAGTCGCACGCCTCCGCGGAGTTACGTAATTTACGGGCCGGACTCGAATTTAACGCACATTGTAATTTACGAATTCAAACTTAGATCGGGGGCCCTAGCATCCCAGCAGGGGGAGTTCCACCGAAGGCCCCAGAGGGAGCGTTCGCATGTGGGCGTCGCGCCCGTGTCGGGACAACCCTTCACGCGTTTCGTGGAGTCCTCATGTGTGGGCGTCGGGCCAGTTTCGGCATACCCTTCAGGCGTTTTGTGGCCCCATAGGGAGGTCCACCGAGGGCCCCACTTGCACGGTCCGCATGCGGCCCCCCACCCCCGCACCCCATTTCGGAAGCCTTTCGCGCGCCCCGTGGCCCCATGGGGAAAAATCCACCCGTGTCGCGGGTGAGCGAACATTACTATGCAGAACGCGGCGCAGAATTTGCAAAAGTGCTTCGCAAGCTTGCCGACGCTTGGCAACCACTTTGCGCACCCCCGCTCCTTCTGCTGCTCACTCTCGCCTGTTTTCCATTCTTCAGGCTGCAAAATTCGGGCCACGTTCGACCAACGTTGGGGCGCCGCTTACAGTGGACACCCATGCCAAAAAAACATCCTGCTTGCCTCAAGGGGCCCTGGGTTTCTTGGATTCCGATGGTTTGCTATGGAAAGCGTGACGCTCCCACACCAAAGATCAATGGACGCCCTAGGGTCTCAGGGTTAGGTATCTTGTGAAAGGTTTCTTGTGGACTGGCCCCCACTGTACTACGAACGCGTTTGCGCTGCTTTCGTTCTCAGGCCTCCAGTTCAAGCGTTACCTACTGCGTGGCACATGTACGGACAGTTTGTCATCGTTTGTTATTCATTGTCGCTACCAGTCCGCCTGGCGAGGATCCCGACCATTTTTCATGTTCATAAGCGCGATGCGACGACCAGGAGGAGGAGGAGGAGGAGGAGAAGCAGGAGGAGGAGGGAGGAGGAAAAGGGGGAGGGAGGGAGGAGGAAGGAAGGAAGGAAAAAGGGAGGAGGCGCGCGGCGATGCGGACCCAAACCAGTTGGGAAAATTCATGACGCATAATTTCTGGGTTCTCCTGCAGATGTCGGACGCGTCGGAGATGTCCGAGGACACCACCTCCTCGGCCAGCAGTGGCAGCCGGGCCCTCAGCAACTGGGCGGCCGGGGCGGTCAGCGGCCAGGACCCACCTGGGGAGGGAGGGGGGGGGCGGGGCTCTGGCGGCGCCGTGGCGGACAAAGGGAGGATCGAGATGGAGGAGGAGGAGGGTAGGGAGGAGCAAGCGATTCTTTTTCCTCCCCCCGCCCCCCCCCTCCTCCCTGCCTCCTCCTCCTCCTCCTCCTCATCATTCCTCCTCCATCCTCCTCACCTCCTCCTCCTGCTCCTCCCCCTCCTCCTACTCCTCCTCTCATACCTCATCCTCCTCCATCCTCCTCCTCCTCCTCCTCCTCCTCCTCCTCCTCCTCCTCCTGGATGCTTGCCCGTTCCCGTGCTGCTAGGAACGGGGGCGCCCGCACTGTTCGCTGTGCCTGCGCTGCGCCGCACACCCGCCTCTCAGCACTGTTTCACGTGCGAGACGGCGCAGTGGCATGGCCAGCGAAGCTTCCGAGCAGAACATGTTTCTGCGATCCGAGTTTCGCTCCAGAGGGAAAATCATGCCATCCTGGCAGACTCATCTGTCAAGCTTGACTGGACAGACCAACGCGTTATTTGCCTCCTTCGCGAATTAGCTGCCGCCTGGTCCCCTCTGATCAACTAGTCGACCTACATAGTACTACGGACCCCATGGGAACCATATGCTTCGCCCGACGACTCAGCCAAGGCTCTTGCCGAATGTCGGGGGCAAGTTGGCAGAAAGAGATTCGTCGATCCCGTGCACTTCAGGATCTCGGAACCCTACATCCAAACGGTCTCTTGCAACAGTTCTTGAGTGATTTCGGAGAGCAATTCGAAGATACCTTTCGTCGTTCTCGCGACTTGGCACCTGGTCGCGACGGGATATACCACGGTGCGTGACGTGGCGGTGGCATTATATGTGCGGATGTTCTTCTTGGGTTATACAAGCACGCGAGCGTTGGAGGCGAGGCCCACGGCAGCTTCAACGAAGGACCCGCGGTTTTCCAACCAAAAGGGGAACTGGACGCCACCCTCCGAGGCCAGACTCGGGATCTTGGTTCCGCCCGCCCAGTCGGCCTCAGCAACACCGACAACAAGAGCACTGCTTCTGCCAGTGCTTGCCCCATCACTCAAGCCTCGACCTGCTTGCGTTGCTGCATCCAGCGGGGTTCTGTGCCAGGCCACCGAGGACCGGAGCACGTCATTGATGTCGATGCGCCTCTGGCCATTGCCAATGAAATGGCGTTGGAGCAAGAATGCGGAGCAAGCTGCTTCAACATCAAGGCCGCTTTCCCAAGCCTCCGCTTCCAGTGGATGGAGCATGTGCTCGGGAAAACAGATATACCCAACTGGTATCGCGTTGCTGCTCTCAGGGTATGAGCCGACGTTTGCATCTCGGTCAACCCTCGGGGCTCCAGCGGGCATTCCTACCTAGCCGAACGTGGGATCAAATCAAGTTGTCTAGTGTCGGGAACTCTTCTCGCGGTATTGTTTGACCTTGTCCATCGGCACCCCCACAGTTTCTTTGGCTCCACGCACGACCCTGAGTCATCCCTCCATGGTTTCGCCGACGATCTCGCGATGGCCCCGCCCAGCCTCTTACGCACCCTCCCCTAGGTCCTCCGAGGCCCCCTGGTGCAAGCTAAGAACATTGGGCTATACACCCACCATGCTAAGACACAGATCACTCTCCCGAGGAAGGTTGGCCCGACCCTGATCCGCGGCGCGTTTCGGAGGTGGGGCCTGAATAGATCGAGATTCAATGTGCAGGACCATTGTAAGAATCTTAGGATGATTTTGAGAGTCAGGTCTAGGGAGCTGTCGTGGAAGGGGCCTGCGTCATCTCTTGAATCTCGCAGCCACCACTCGAGTCGCTCGGCCTGTTCTTTCGCCAAATCAAAAGTGGTGAGATTCTCTCATGGTGGGGCTCCAGGCCAAAGCTCTTGAGGTATATTTTGCGTGTGCGCACCGTTAACCTCGGTCATGTCGTTCTGCTCTGTCCACCCGTATCGAGCACTTCGCGGGCTCTTGTCACGACCCGACTATCGATTGGCAAATCATGAGAATGGGTTTCGTGGGCCTTGTTTTCCTTCTGTTCATCCTCGCCTCGACCCTCAAGACTGCATCAGCCAGATTCAGGTATGGTACCCAGTTTTGCTCGTTCGGAAGTGCAGCGTCGGGCGGACACACACTCGTTCATTATCTGAGGTGCCGCGTCTTCCAGTCTGAAGGCGCGAGCCTCGCCCCCCACCCCCCCCCAACTGGGCCACTGAGGATCTAGCTCCTGGATGTTTGGTTTTCCCCCGAACCGCCCTCTCTTGGTTGTGCTAATTATCGATTGCAGCCGCAGGACACGAACATAAAACCGATAAACCGATCAACCGATAAACTATTTCGGTTGATCGGTTCATCGGCAGATCGACCGATAAACCGATATGATTATATCGGTTTATCGGTCGATCTGCCGATAAGCCGATCAACCACTAAACCGACTCATCGCATGCGTGCCCGAATCTCAGCACAGCTTGGCATTTATCAGTTTATCGGTTGATCGGTTGATCGGTTGATTGGCCCGCCGTTGTCGTGGTTGTCCAATGGGTAATCCTTCGAAATTCTCTCTCCTCTTCCTCCTAGTCCTCCCCTTCCTCTTCCTCCTAGTCCTCCTCCGCCTCCGCCTCCTCCTCCTCCTCCTCCTCCCTTCCCTCTTCCTCCTCCCCCCTCCTCCGTTCCGATCCTCCCTCCCTCCCTCCCTCTCCTCCCTCTCCTCCCTCCCTCCCTCACTGGCCCCGACGCCCATGGTTCTCCTAGTCCTCCCTCCCCCTCTTCCTCCTAGTCTCCTCCGCCTCCCCTTCCTCTTCCTCCTAGTCCTCCTCCGCCTCTGCCTCCTCCTCCTCCTCCTCCTCCCTCCTCCTCCTCCTCCTCCCTCCTCCGTTCCGATCCTCCCTCCCTCCCTCTCCTCCCTCCCTCCCTCACTGGCCCCGACGCCCATGGTTCTGCGCGCACAGGGCCGCGGCCCCCGTGAGCCCCTTCTCGGCGTTCCAGCTGACCACCATTCCTGGGGAGCTCGTCCTCCCTCCCTCTTCCCCTCCTGCCCACACTCTCACATCCGTCCCCCATTCCCCTCCCTTGTTCCCCTCCCCTCCCTCTTTCGGATTGGGGAATTTCGAATTTCCTGTCTCCTCCTCTCCCAGGCCCAGTGCCCAGGCCCATCCAGAAAGAAAAACTGGAAAGGGGGGAGGGCGGGAAGGAGAGATGGAGGGAGGGAGGGTTGGATTCGATTCGGGAAGGGGCATTTGAGAAAAGAGGGGATGGAGGGGTGGAGGGAATAGGGATGGGGGAGGGGGATTGGAGTTGGGAAGGAGGGATGGAGGGAGGAGTGGCGGGGGGAGGGCGGGGTTTGTGGGAAGCAAAATCTGGCGGGGCATTTCGGGCTAGGACGTTTTCGGTTTCTACAGCGCTTTGGCGGGGGTGCCTCCAGCTCCCCCTTCCTCTCCTTCTCTGGGCTTCGGGGGGGGTCGCATTTCCCCTCTCCTCCTCCCCCATCCTCCTTCTCCTTCCCCCCTCGGTCTTAGCCGTATCAGGTTATCACTGTAGCGCGAGCTGCGGCGAAAGCTGCTGGCGTCGCGCGCCCTATTGCGGATCCGGGCGCAACTCTCAGCCATGCGCGGCGGCCCGTATGATAAACCACCCGGGCCTTTAAACCAACGGGACGTCATCGTCTGCTCTTTGTGCGACCGGCGAGTCGGGAAGCCATGCTGGGCCACCCATGTGAGGGATTGTGTCAGCGCTTCCTCTGCGCTCGCGGTTGAGCCGCAGCGGTTGGGCCTTGATCCCAACCGTGCGCCAGTTCAGTTTGTTGCTCAAGGACAGCCTGTTGCCCTTCGCGCCGATGTGAAGATAGCGGGTGATAAACTGAAACAGTGCCACCTCCGGATGGGGCAAGCCTTCGTGCCCGACCCCCACATCAGCGGGGCTTGCTACACTTGCGGTTGGAGCTCCTTCAAAGGTGCGTGGACGGGGCCCGAGGGTTGCAGCGTCGGCGCGCCGCCCCTCTGCGCCGCGTTCATCGACTCGCTGTTCGAGGCGAAGGCTTTGACGGACGCGGCGCAATTCATGACCGACATGGGCATGGATTCTAGCAAGCGCTTGCCACATTACCGTTATCTGGCCCAATGTGGGAGTGCGTTCGTGCAGTGGGGTGAGAATTCCTGCCGTTCCAAGCGGCCGGCGCCTGGTTAGCCGCGCGCGGTCCACGTGCCACCGGCCGTGACTTCTTCCAGACACTGGTGGGCGCACTCCGCATGTACGACGCAGTGTGCGACCTGCTCTAGCCGCGGGTGTGCGTCGTGCGAACGTTGCTGCTTGCGCAAATTGCGATTCGCGTTCAAGTTCGCAGTGGCTGCGCTGTACCAGTCTGACAGAACGCCTGTGAGTTCCCAGGTGCGCTTTGTGCTCGGGCACAGGTCGTTCCGAATCCTCGGCGGCCTCATCGTAGTTTTCTCGCCATCGGAAGAGTTCGGCATCTGGGCGCCGCCGCGCGTGGGCGGCGACGAGTGGCCTTGGATAAGCTTTATTGTGTTCGGCGACTAAGCGGCGACTCGGCTCCGACCCCTGCCGCTTGGCGGGGGCTGCGCGCAGCCGCGCCCGCAGGTTCGGGCGCGGTCCGGCGGCGGGGGCCGCCAGCGCGGCGACGGGGGCGTCCTGGGCGGCGAGAGCTGCCTTTGATCCTCGCTCAGCGGCGCGAGCGATCCGGCGGCGGGAGCCGCCCCCGCCCGTCGCTCGCGCGAGCGGCCGGTGCATTTTTAAGAGGCGGTTTGCGCGGCGAGAGCTGCGCCGTCTCGCTGGTGCGCGCGGGCGCTGTTGAGCGGCGAGAGCTGCAAGCGCGGCGACGGGGGGGTCTTGGGCGGCGAGAGCTGCCTTTGATTCTCGCTCAGCGGCGCGAGCTGCCCGCGCCGTGGAGCGCGTGGTGAGAGCTGCCCCCGACCGTCTGGCATTGGACTGGTGGCGATTGGCTCCGTCTGCTTTCTCCTCCTCCTCCTCCTCCTCCCCCCCTCCTCCTCCTCCTGTTCCCCCATGTTCATCCCCCGTCCCCT